CACACAGAGACACAAAAAACAAACAAGAAAAGAACGTAAAGGAAGGCAGAGATGTAAAATGGGGAGTTTTTATATGTAATAGAAGTTTAATTTTACCAGCTTAAAATAGATTGTTACAACTTTAATAAGTTTAATGTAATTGCAATTATAACTGCAAAGAAGATATTGTAGAATATACACAAAGGGAAATGAGAAAGAAACGAAAATATGTCACTATAAAAATCCACAAAACATAAAAGAAGGCAGCAAGGGCAAAAAATGGACAAAAAGCGACAAAACATATAGACAACAATTAATAAAATGGCACTAGTAAGTCCTCCCATGTCAATAATTACTTTAAATGTAAATGGATTAAATGGCTCAACTACAAGACATAGATTGGCTGACTGGATTTTAAAAACAAGATCCAAGTATATGCTACCTGTGAGAGATTGACTTTAGATCTAAAGACACATATAAGCTAGCAGGAAAGATTGGAACATGCTAATCTATGCTAAGAATGGAATAGATATTCCAAAATATTCCTTTCTATTTATTTATTTATTTTTTTGTAGAGACAGTCTCACTTTATCATCCTTGGTAGAGTGCTGTGGCATCACACAGCTCACAGGAACTTCCAACTCCTGGGTTTAGGTGATTCTCTTGCCTTAGCCTCCTGAGTAGCTGGGACTACAGGCACCTGCCACAACGCCTGGTTATCTTTTGTTGCAGTTGTCATTGTTGGTTAGCTGGCCTGGGCCGGGTTTGAACCCACCACTCTCAGTATATGAGGCCGGCACCCTACCCACTGAGCCATAGGCACCACCCAAATATTCCTTTCTAAAGAGAGAAGATGTAGTGTTATGGTTTGAATTACCTTTTATAACTCATGTTGAATTTAATTGTCATGGTATTAAGAGGTAGACCGACAAGAGGTGATTAGGTCATAAGGGATCTACTCTCATGAATGGATTAATGCTGTTATCATGAGAGTGCTCTCCTGATAAAAGGAGAACAACACTAATTCTCTTTGAATGCTTTCAAAGATCAAATAGGAGGAAACACCAAACTCATTCTATGCAGCTACATTACCTTGCTACTAAAGCTAGACAAACACACCACTAAAAGGAAAAGTACAGACCAATATTTCTGATGAATATTGATGTGAAATTCTATGACAGGATACTTATTCAGAATTGAAAAGATTCGTATGGCTGGGCATGTTGGCTCACATCTGTAATCCTAGCAATTTGGGAGGCTAAGGTAGTGGGAGGATTGCTTGAGGCCAGGAGTTCAAACTAGCCTGGGTAACATAGGAAGACCTCACGTCTACAAAATATTTTAAAACGTTATCTGGGTGTGGTGGTAGATGCCTGTAGACCTGACTACTCAGGAGAATGAGGCAGGAGCATCACTTGAGCCAGTTCAAGGGTGCAGTGAGATATGATTATGCCATGGCAGCCAACCTGGGTGATAGAGTGAGACCCTATCTAAAAAGAAAAAAAAAAAAAACTCACAACCACTAAACTTGCTGAAGATTTTGTTTTGTTTTTTAGATACTATCAGGTTAACAAATGTAATAAATTTCTTTTCTATTTTTTGTTTTCTAATTTAATGACTCACATATGGAAACTAAATTTTATTTAAAAAATTATGTATCTATTGAGATGATTATCAATTTTCCTTTTTAATCTCTAATGTGTTGAAAAACTTAGCTATATAAAATTGTTTTATTTATACATATATTAAATTCTTTATATTTAATATAAAGAATTGCTGAAGGGAGGCAAAATTGTGGACTGGAAGCAGCCCACATGCTATTCTCAGGGAAAGGATCAAAAGTTGACAGTGGATGCACATCTATGGATGGGCCCTCTTCTTCTTCTTTTTTTTTTTTGGAGGCAGAGTGTCACCACTTTGTCTTCAGTAGAGTGCTATGGCATCATAGCTCACAGCAACCTCAAACTCTTGGGCTCAAGTGATCCTCCTGCTTCAGCCTCCTGAGTAGCTGGTGCTGCCACGATGCCTTGATATTTTTAGAGATTGAGGTTTTGCTGTGGCTTGGGTTGATCTCGAACTCCTGAGCTGAAGCGATCCATCCACTTCAGCCTCCCAGAGTGCTAGTATCACAGGTGTGAGCCAACATGCCTGGCCTAGATGAGTCTTTTTTTTTTTTTTGGAGACAGAGTTTTACTATGTCACCCTTGGTAGAGTGCTGAAGTGTCACAGCTCACAGCAACCTGGCCCGGGCTGGGGCTGGGTTCTAACCCGCCACCCTCAGTGTATGTGGCTGGCACTGTAACCACTGCTCTATGGGTGTCGAGCCTAGATGGGTCTTCTTGAAAAGAGCATTGTGAATTATCAAAGAAGCAATGGGGGATACTCAGAGTGAAGGAGAAGATGACTCAGCAAGATCAAAAGGTACATACCTGGGGGAGGCATCCATATCTGGAGAGGGTCAAGAGAAGAAAGCTTTGGGGCTCCACGCCCCCTCTCCCACCATGAACACTGCAGCCTGAATTATGAGGCTGTGATCAAGACCTCCACACTGATCAAGGAGCTGTTTGGAGTCTATTCAGTGACATTGCATCAGAGAGTGGATATGGCAGGGACCTGGGGCTCCTGTTCCTGGATTACTGCATCTGAAACCATTTTGAGCTCTCACGTCCAGAGTACCAGGTCTACACAGGGCTTGGCTTTACTGCAGTGGCCTCTGCACTGCGCTGGCCAGCTGGGGAGGGAGCAGGCAGAGTGAATGCTCTTGCATGCTCTGTGATGTGGAGATGAGCACCCCTTTCCACTTGGGAAATCTGAACAGACTGGCCACCAAGGATGCCACCTGAGACATCCTATGGCAGCTGCCTCCACAGGGCCCTTGTAGTCCCAGCTACTCAGGAGGCTGAGGCAGGAGGATCACTTGAAGTCAGGAGTTTGAGGTTGCTGTGAACTATGACACTATGGTGCTCTACCCAGGGTGACAGAATGAGACTCTGTCTCAAAAAGAAACAAAAAATAAAAAACAGGCTCAATGCCTGTAGCACAGTGGTTATGGCATTGTCCATATACACTGAGGCTGGTGGGTTTGAACTTGGCCTGCGCCAGCTAAACAACAATGGCAACTACTACTACAACAACAACAACAACAACAAAATAGCTGGGCATTGTGGCGGCACCTTTAGTCCCAGCTACTTGGGAGGCTGAGGCAAGAGAATCACTTAAGCCTAAGAGTTTGAGGTTGTTGTGAGCTGTGACGCCAGGGCACTCTACCCAGGGCGACACAGTGAGACTCTGTCTCAAAAAAAAAAAAAAACCAAACAAACAACAAACTAACAACAAAACAAACAAACGAACAAACAAAAAAACCAAAAAAACACCGTAAGATATATCAGTAGACTTTAAGAAAGAAAAAAAGAAAGTAGATAGAGTGGATAGCTCCAGTAACAGATTAAATGAAGTAGGCAACCACCATTCTATATATGACAACAGTTCTGATGGGCATGCCAGAAAAACAGTTCCAAAATGGACTAGGTGCTGGTGTCCAGATGATCTGCAACAAAGCAGATAACAACATACCTGCTGGGGGGAGGAAGGAAGCCTTATTCATATATATAAAAATTAGTCGAGGATGAATAGAAGACTTAAAAATAAAGCATGAAACCACAAAAATTATGGAAGAAAATGAGAGAAAAACTCTTAGACGTCAGCCTAGGCAAAGAATTTGTGACTAAGACCCCAGAAATAAATTAGCAACAGTAAAAATAAATGAATAGGACTTAATTAAATCAAACACCTTCTGAATACCAAAGGAAATAACCAGCAGAGTAGCCAACCTACAGAGTGAGAGAAAATATTCACAAACTATAAGTTTGATAAAGGACTGATATCTAGAATGTACAAAGAACTCAAACAAAGCATCAAGAAAATAATAAAACAGCTCCCTCAAAAAGTGGGCAAGAGGCACAGCAGAAGTTTTTTGAAAGAAGACAAATCAGTGGCCAAAAATAGAAAATCCATGTAAAAATACTCAACATCATTGGCAGAGCCTATGGCTCAAGGAGTAGGGCACTGGCCCCATATACCAGAGGTGGTGGGTTCAAACCTGGCCCTAGCCAAAAATTGCAAAAAAAAAAAGCTCAGCATCACTAATCATCAGGGAAATGCAAATTACAACTACAATGAAATACCACCTTACCCTATCAGAATGGCCATTATTAGAAAGTTGATAATAGATGCCAGTCTCGATGGAGAAAGGAATGCTTATACATCATTGGTGAGACTGCAAATTCCATAACCTCTATGGAAAACAGTATGGTGATTCCTTAAAGAAATAAATTAGACCTACCATTTGATCAAAGGAAATTAAGTCATTTTATCTGAAAGACGTCCGTTCTCGAATGTTTATCACAGCACAATTCACAATTGCAAGGATGTGGAATCAACCTAAGTGCCCTTCAATTCATGAGCAGATAAAGAAAATGTGATGTATATACACCATGGTGTACCACTTAGCTATAAAAAGGAATGGAATAAGGCACATCTGGCCATTTGGATGGAACTGGAGACCGTTATCCTAAGTGAAGGGTCTCAGGAATGGAAAGTCAAACACCTTATACTCTTACTAATAAGTGGGAGCTAATAGATGGGTACACGCAAATACAAAGCCACATACAGGCCACCAGAAACCCAAAAGGGGGAAGGGTAGGCAGGTGGATGTGGGATGTAAATTTACCTGTGGCATACGATGAACAGTATTCTGGTGATGGGCCCATGCAAAGTCCTGACTTCAGTGTTATCTGACCCTTGTCATTAATATTTAGGGAAAATAACTAACTAAATAAATAGGGTCATTTGACCTGTAGAATTTCGCATGTTAAAAAAAGAAAAAGTGCAAAAAATGTAAGGAAAACAGCAACAACACCGTACGAGGTTTATAACATATGTAGAACTGTATGACTATATTTTGAAGTTTTGAAAATATTGGTGTAACGTTATGTATCATATCCTTTAGTTAAAATGAATTCCCCTGCTTTCCAAAGGGATCATGGGCTTCCCGTGCCCTGTCACTGATAGTGTGGGGAGAGGAACTGATGAACGCCATTTCCCCATGTTTGCAAGGTCCATTCCTGTCTCTTCCAAACCCTGGAGCCGCCTTCCCCCCACCACCTTCCAGATGCCCGGCGTCGTCTAGTTTGTTGAGTTGCTCTTCTCCCCAGCCCGGAGCACACTGCTGTGAGACACCCAGGAAGGGTGCGGGACCACAGTTGGGCGGGAAGGAGTAGGAAAGCTGGGCGTGTAGCTGTGATGGGGCACAGAGGCTTCCTCGACCTCCACACCTTTTCTTAGTCACGCCCCTCAGCACCGAGCAGACCCGGTGGAAATTGTTGCTCGACTTGTCTCCTGAGCTCACTTTGCTGTGATCTTGCGGGCAGTGTCTCAGTGCTCCATCAGTGTGACACAAATGAAGACAAAGAGAGAGTCCCGCCATTCATCGCCCTGCGGACTGGAATGCGATGTGGGAAAATGCTGAGTAAGCAACCCGTGCAGGGGTGGAGGGTAGGAGCAGATCTGATATTTTCCACCCCTTCACAGAACTGGTCAACAAGTGACTTAGTTCAGTTGGTCCTGGCCCTGTGTGGCCACTGGGGAAGGATTTTCCCTCCAGTCTAGGTAAGGAGACAAGGACTGGAGATGGGCAGAGCAGAATTAAAGCGAAGGATTTATGGAAGCGAAGGATTTCGTCCTTACAGCGAACCCTGCTGGGGGCAAAACAAGAAAAATAAAATTTCCGTCTAAATGCTTGATATTGCTCATTTGTGCCTTCTTTCTTTTGTTGGTCTCACACAATGTTTATTAGTATTTTCAAAAAATCAATTTGGCTCTCATATCTGTTTTCTGTTATCATTATCATCTGCTTTTAGTCCTTTCACTTATTTATTTGAGTATATTTTCTTTTTTCAAGCTTATTGAGGTAGGTGTTTAGCTCATTAATTATCAGGCTTCCTTTTTTTTTTTTTCTTTAAATATCCTCTGCATTTAGGGCTGGCAGCATGTTTTAACCGCCTTACAGTTCTGAATATTTTGTTAGTCCTAATGAAAACAAAAGGAAGAACCAACAGGTCAGAGGCAAGTAAGCATTTACTTAGGAGTAGGGTTTGCAACCCAGGTAGCAGTCAGAGACTGTGATACCTGAGAGGGATGAGGAGGCTTGCATTTATAGGAACCCATTAAGATTACATAAATTAGGGCCCAGCTCGGTGGCTCATGCTTGTAATCTTAGCACTCTGGGAGGTGGAGGCCAGTGGATTGCTTGAGCTCAGGAGTTCCTTGCTTGAGCTCAGTAATTCCAAGCCAGCCTGAGGAAGAAGTAGATCCTGTCTTTATTAAAAATAGGAAAACTAGTTGGGGCATGTGGCAGGCTCCTATACTCCCAACTACTTGGGTGGCTGAGGCAAGAGGATCCCTTGAATCCAAGAGTTTGAGGTTGCTACGAGCTACGATGCCAGGGCCTTCTACTGAGGGTGACAAAGAGACAGTCTGTCTCAAAAAAAAAAAAAAAAGATTACATAAATTGTTTGTCACATTATTTCATTGGTGGATTAAACAAAGAAGTCTTTAATCATTAGTAGAAGGGTGCATTT